TTTATGAGAGGTAAGAAGTGAAACAGAAGGGGGATATTTGGAGTCATAGTGGATGCTGATAGCCTAGAATCCAATTACTCAATTAGTCTCCTGAAGTTTCTTTTTTTTCTTTTTCTCAAATACTAGGCCCTCCTGTTTCATTTGTTTCATTTAAGCGATAAATGTAATACTGTTAATTTAATCTCCCAGTACTCATGGTTAATATGTTGTAAATAACTAACTTGTTTTCATCAATTGCTCTTTAAAAGGGGTCACGATATTTTCAGACTAATGTGGAAATGGTTAAGCAGCATTTTGATACCTAAATTTCACCCTCCCAAGTCAGCCTTTGGTAAGAAATTATCTGTTGTCTTTGGAATTTTTGAGGACTAACAATTCTTTCCTGCCATCCTTTGGTTTTCAGAGCCCTGACAGAAAACAGATGAGGTTTCTCTGTTAGGGAACCCTTAGTTGTGTCCCTTGAAAATAATGTGACACTTGTAGCAGTGACAGAAAACCAAACAATTACTGTCCTCTGGTGAGAGAATGTGGCCAGTGTGCTACAAAATTTTCAACACTCTTGGTGTAAAGTGTTAGTATCAAGAATGAACCGTGCTGTTTGCAATGAGGTTTTACATCTTGTGTATGTGCCCACACACATGATAGGTAACTATAAAAGCATATACCAGATAGATTGGTTTAACTTCACTTTTCTTCAGAATTTTTTGGAGGTTGGCTGCCTCTTTAGTGCTCTTTTCATGTTAACTAATAGGTTATGTGATGGATGAATAGGATTCTTTATAGAATTATCTAAAACCAGGCACTGATTTATTTGAAAACAAAGGGTTTCTTTAGAGCTAAGTTTAAGCTGGCATTGCCATGAATCCTAGAATTATTCTACATTTAAATGAGAGAACAGTGATGCACTTGTATTTGAGCTTTGAACAGCAGAGAGCTGTTGACCAGAGACTCAGAGACTGCTGAGCAAATCTGTTTAGGTTCCTTTGCCGAAGTTTCCAAGCCTACTCTTCTCTCCTTACAGATGATGAGAAGCAAAGCTAAAAAGACACTATAAGCTGCGTTGATCAGTTTGTTTGGAGGAAGGCAAGTTGTTTGCTGGTGTGTGATTCAAAAAATGTATAAAATCTTGCTCTGTAGCAATCTGAGCACATACTTTTTCTGTTTTGCTTTGGGGTGTGTGGGGTCTGGAGCATAGCAGCTAAACAATACCTCACTTGTTTATAAAAAACCTTGGGAAGAAGGGGTGAGAAAGAAGAAAATATTTACAGTAGCTTTCTACCCAATTAAAATCAGAAGGCAGACTGAAAAGGAAAGAGTTCATCTGTGGTCCAAGCCAATTAAAAGTAAATTTTGCTGCTTGGATGTGAATTTACACATCCAAGGCAATGTAAATTTAAACTAGAAGCTTGACTTAACCTCACCAGTTCAGATGAACTTCAGATTTATGACTCATTTAGTTTTGGTCATAGCATCTGGGTGTTTAAGCACATTTTATGTGAATTGACATTAGAAATTCATAAACTGCCTTAAAATGTTACATCTTTGGAGTACTTCACCAGAATGTGTAAATAATGCCTGTCTTGCAAACACAGCTCTGCAACATGAGCTGGCTCAGATCCTCGTTAAGATATTCTTATGTTTTATGCCCTCAGACATTTATCCCCTTGTTTAATTATCTGGGAATAAAACCAAATATGTGTAGCTTCTCTCATGTATTAGAAGGTATCTTGAATTTCTGTGCAAACGCTTTAATTGTATTTGTTGATATTAGTTGAGATTGTTTGTGGGGCTTTACACATAAGATGTGGGTCTATTTATAAAGAATTGAAATAAAGGTAGAAGGAGGAATCTTATAACACTTAAAGGGTTTTTTACTCAGAAATTAAACTTGTCAATGCGTGTAAAAATCAGTTTACTGTTTTACATAGGAGCATCACTTGAAATGACCTGAAAGAAATTTTATCATCAACCACCCAGTCAAATCCTGGATAATTATTCAGGGAACCATGTTGGATGCATGATGTGTACAGAGTAAGAAACAAAACAGTCCTTGAGAAGGAATCTGAAGGGGCTGAATATTTCAGAAGCTACAGAGCATAAGGAACAGAGAACAGCCTTGCAGCTCATAATCTAAACAGGGACACACACAGACATGTGCACAGTTTGACACTTCTTCAGGAAAAGGAAGTTCATTAAATGAAAATATGTTGATATTAGGAACTGTCAAGGAGAAACTGGAACATTCTTTGTCTTGGTTACTGCTCTATGACTTGGTAGCTGTAAAAGATTGATTACTTGGGTGCTTGGCCCTTTGATTTGGTTTTGCTGTTTTGATTCATGAGTTACAAAGTCTTAGACATAGGTCCTCATTTAAAGAGAAGAAAGAAAAATTATTATTAGAGAAAAGAATAAATAAAAAAGATTATTAGCAATGTTATTTTAAAGCAAATGCAGTTGCTAAGTTAAAATATTGTGACAGTTGTTCCAGTGTATTTACAGATCTGCCAAAGATGTCCATATGTCACATCAGATGTCAGTTAAATGGTCAATATGTTGTCTCAAATCAGTCAGTGCCTGGTGTCTAGACACTGAACACTGTCTCTCCAGTCATGCTTGTTGCTGCAAAGCATTTAGATCAATCTAACAGTGGAGGAAGGCAGTATTGTTCTGGTCCTCCTTTGGTCTCTGCCACATGGATGCCACGGTTAGTCCCTGGATTCCTCTGGTTTGGCTTAAGATGAGTCTCTGTTACAGTATTAGTTCAGTTCAGGAGCTTGCTTTTGGAGTCCATCCCTTGTGGCTTGCTCTGCTGGGGGATCTTGAGCTGGGTTCCTTTCAGATGAAGTAAGATCGGAAGATGTTCTTCAGGAGTGCTTTTAGCACTGAACCAGGTACAGGTGTCCTACACACAGCACCAGACTAAAGCTGACTTGAAGCAAAACATACAACCTGCCATGCCAACATGGGTCATGTGGGTGCTGCATCTTCAGCATCAACTGTTTTCCTCTCTGTGGATGTGCTTTTCTTGCGCTGCATTACTTGCTAAGGCAGACATTGAAACAAAAACCGCAGCAAGAGTAGATCCAAGCACCTGGAGCCTGCCTTTTCTCTTGACTTCAGGTACAGCCTTGTAAGTCATTGCTCATGAAAGTGTAATGCACCTCTGAAATGACTCTCCCTGCAAATGGCAGTCTCATTTTTCATCTTGGTTCTTCCCAGTTTCCTGCCTGTCACCTGACTTCCCTCAGTGCTTCTCTCTGTGTTTCTGAACCACTTTTTCTTCCCCTCACTTCTGGTTTGCCATGGCAAACCAGACCCATGGCATTCCCCAATCATTGCTCCCAGCCATAAGGTGCCAGTCTCAAGTGGTCTCTGCCCCACAAAGATGCAGTCTGTGTTTCATGAGGAAGTCTTTGCTTCAGCTGTTTTTAAAGCTCTTTCCTGGTGAAATCTCTTCCATTGCTTCCCTACCCTTCCAATATTTTTTTTCATGTTCTTGTCTCCCCTCCCCCAGTACTTACTAACCTGAACCTTTTCTGTGCTTATTTTAAGCTCATTTAGGACTTGTCCTGAAGAGACAATTCCCTTCTCTTTGAAGTAGTCTTCCAAGATAACAGCCACCCCTCAAATGGGTTCCCCCCACCCCACACTAGCTTGTCCATACCACTTCCCTGTAAGTCACATTTTCTAGACCAGTTTTCATTCTTATTTCTGTTCCCTAGACATGCATAGACAGGACCACATCTTTCCTAGGTGTTCAGACACAAACAGAATGAAGTAGAAGGACTTTTTTGAGTTCAGCAGATTATGCTCAGGCTTTCCATTCTATTTTATATCTCATAGCAATATTTGTCTTAGAACAGCACGACATTTGTCTTTGTGACCTGCTGTTGTCTGAGGCCTTGTTTCCCATCCTGTATTTCCATATGAGACATTTCCTGCCTGTGGGCAGTATCTTGCATATAACCTGCTACATTTCACTCCATTCTTCCAGATCACTACTCTGCCCTGATGATGATATATTTAACCTTTGTTTCTTACATCCAGAGCTTTTATTCTTCCTGCATCTGTAGCCTGGTTGATAAAATATCTCAAGGCAGTTTCAAAGCTTTTCTAAAGGGAAGGTGTGACATCTGTGATTTCTCTCCTACCTCTCTGGAAGGCTGTCAGAGGAAGTTTGCAATGTGATTGAACAAATCTCTTTTGGCTATTACTTAGGATTATCTTCCAGGTGCTGCTAATTGATCTGTTTTGGATTGTTTTCCCCAGGAATTTGAAGCTAAACTGACTCACTGGGTCTTTAATATTCTTACCTGTTGTTTTTTGTTGCTTTGATTTGTTTGTTCCATTGTGCAGATGTGCACACACTTCCATTCACATTCTCTGTCTCTCTCCTGTTCCTCCTGAAATTTTACCTGTCATCTCTATTATTTATGCCAATCACTGCTTGCATTTGACCCCCTAGGTGAAGACTGATGTCCTAGACATGATAGTCTGCTGGGTGTCATCTCTCATCAGCTTTTCTCTGTGTTGACTAGGGCCAGAAGGTTCTCCTTGCTCTTAAGCTACAGTCATATTGATAATAAGGATTTCTTTTTGTTGCTAGTATTTTTTTTTTCTTTATAATTCTACCTTAACCATGCTGATTCTCATATGTACTCCTCCAGATTTTATATTTATTGCTAGCAATTTGACTATGTTTTCACATTTTTGTGCCTGTCTTGACAAATAAATCTTATGCTACTTTTGTTTATTTTTACAGGGCACAAGCAGATTATCCTCTTGTATTGTTTCGTAGAGGAATTACTTCTTTTTTGTTTTCCCTCTTAATGTCTCTTGTGTTCACATTCTCTTTGCTACTTTCTTGGGCTCCCCCACCTCCCATTTAAAGACGTTTAGTCAACTTTTCTTCTGAACTGGTTGCTTTCCATTTGTTTAGAAACAAAAATCTAAGGGATACGCTGCCTATTTTTAATGTTAAAAAAAAAATATCTGATTTTGAAATAAAAGAAGTTCAAACTAAACTAAAGTGCTGTCAATTCACAGGCCTTTGCTCCTTGTACCGTGTGACTGTTGAGATACCACGTGGTAGTAGATTCCCCATTCAGGCTCTTTGATTTTACTTCTGAGTTGCTAGCTGTTTGATATGTACATTTGAGATACCAAACAAATAACCCTGGTGCTGGTAGGTGATTTTTAATGGCTTTGTTTTTGTTTAAACTGACTAGCCCTTTGAGTGCAAATAGCTTGTTCTTGCAAGTCTGTCATTGTGCTTGTTATCTGTTATTGTGCACAGTGACAATGGATCTACCATAGTGGGAAACACCAATTTAAAACCTTAGGAGAATGTATCCTTTCAGATTTACAGAATAACAGGATGGTTTGGATTGGAAGGGATCTTAAAGATAATCTAGTCTCCATTTCTGGTCTGTAACCTCAGCCCATTTGTGGGATGGTCCGGATTTTGTTTCAAAAGTTGTTGATACTGTACAAAGGTCAGATGCTGGATCCAGATTCTTCCAACCATGGATTTATTTCCTTGGCTTACTACAGCAATGACAGTAGAACATTTTAACTGAACCACTCCATCAGAATGAACGACTGATTGACGTGGGTGACCTCAGCAATTAACTGAAATGCCTCCTCTTGCTGCTTTGAATGAAGAAAGCTGTACTGCATTCCGTTCCCAAGAGAGAACTGAACCTCTGGATGTTCACCCTTGGTGACACCAGTGATGCTAAAGGCTTACCACTGACTTGCTTCACATCCAGGGTGAGTGAAAAAGGCACCTACCCTGCTGTGAGAAGCCCCTCACTTCAGCACTTCCTCTGAATTAAAGCTGTGACATGTGCTGAAACACTTTGAAAAGAAAAGGATCTGGTTAAAATGTAAGACAAATTCCACAATTTATTTGTTCAGGAGATACTGACAATTATTCTCTGACATAGTTTTTTGTTAGTATCCGATTTACTTACTTTCATGGTAAATTTGTCCCCTTCCCCCAATATATGTTTGGGGTTTTTTGTTGGGTGGTTTCTTTCCTTACAAAGCAAAATCTCAAAATAATTATTATTATTTTAGTTATAAAGGATTGTGAGTTCTGCATGTTTTCCTCTCTCCTTCCAGACACTACAGGAAGTCATGATGGTCTTTCAACTTTCCTGGACACACAGTAAAACAAAAGTGAATATAATCCCATCTAAATTAAATAAGAAATCACTGCATCTTGTTTCTATACTTCCACAATTCTAGCATTCATAGAGGTGTAGTTTGGCTCTACCTGTCCACCATGGTAGGCATATTAATGCTTTCAAATTTTCTTTTATGTGAACTGTCCAAAATGTCTTTTTCTTTGGTGTTTGTTTGATGTTTTGTTTGTTTACTTTCTGTCTCACTCAACCACTGGTCCTTTTGTTAGTTGATAGAAGTTCTATGGCTTCTTGTTTACCCCATAAATTGCTCTGGCTTGTGTGACTTGGGACATCCTTCCCATAAACCAGATGTGAAAACGTGGTAAAAGTTTAACTGTTCAGGTTCATGTTATGGTTTAACCCCAGGTGGCAACCAGCTGCTCGCTCACTCCTCCTGTCCTGGTGGGATGCAGGGGACAGTTGGAGAAAGGTACAACCCGTGGGTTGAGGTAAGAAAAGTTCAAGAATTGATATAAAGTAAAATACAATAACAACAACAACAATAATAATAATAACAACAACAGCAAATGAGAACATGGAAGGAGAGGAATAAAACCCAAGAGAATGAAATGATGGACAATACAATTGCTCACCATGCCCTGACGCCTAGCCCATCTCTGAGCAGGGATTGGTGGCTCCTGACCAATTCTCCCAGTTTATATGCAGAGTATGATGTTTTAAGGTATGGAATATCCCTTTGGCCAGTTCAGGTCAGCTGTCCCAGCTGTGATCCCTCCCAGATTTTTGTGCATCTGCTTGGTGGCAGAGGATGGGAACCTGAAAAGCCCTTGACTTAGGGTAAACACTGCTTAGCAACAACTAAAACATCAATGTGTTATCAACACTGTTCTCATACTGCATCCAAAACACTGTACCAATTAATAGAAAGAAAATGAACTCTATCCCAGGTGAAACCAGAACACCATACAATGCATGCAATGAAGTGAATAAGAAAAACTTAATTTAGCAACTATGCATATAGGAATGCTGGAAATAGGAGTCAGCAGTAGAAACAGCCAACTTCCTTACTGTGACTTTAAAAGAATCCTGATTACTTCTGCATTTCTCTTCTCAAAATTAGTCATCATTCCTGTAAGAGTGAGAAATAAACAGTGGTTGTATTTTCTGACTTTGGACACGCTTCTAAATCAATCAGGGGAGGTAGATGGGTGAAGGATGAAAATGTCCACAATTACCCCAACTTTGTTTTAACAGAGGTGTGTGGTGAGGACCTTTGGCTGGACATTACCCCAGACTCCCTAGGGGAGGTGACCGCAGCAGCAGGCAGGTGTCCCCAGGGTTCTGGTGTGGCAACAGTTGCTTTTGGGAAGGGATAAATTGGTGACAAACAAATAAAAAAAAAAGAGCAGCGTAGGCTTGGGAGAACCACAGTTATATAAAGGTGAACAATGAAACACTATTTCTCAAGTGGGTATTTTGAAGGGCTGTTACCGCAACACTAAATGCAAGGTACATTTGAATCGGAAGCAGTTTGGCATAGCAAACTGCGACTGACTCATCCCAGACCTGAAACAGAGCTGCTGTGACACAGAGAGGTTTTTGAGTGCTTGCATGGGATGTGCTTCAGAGACCCAGGAGTGAGAGATATTAGTATCCTCCTCCAACACTGCTCCTATTAGCATCCACTAGCATGGTGCACATTCCAGTTAGGAAATCCTCATTGCCATTTGCATCCAAACAGAGATTGATCGTTGCAAGCTTCTTGAATCTTACAGAGATTCTATACATATCCCTATTTTTATACCAAGGCAGTGACAACATATTTATTAAGAGCTTCAGTGCAGGAGATGTACGTCTTGAGTTCTCATGGCTTTACAAAATCTTTTATCTTCTTTCTACAACAAAATTTTTTCTTTAATTCAAAGATTTATAAAAATGTTTAATGAACCAGGTTGACACAAAGATTGCCATGTAATTAGAAAACTGTGACATTTTGCTCTTTTGTGTTCTTTTGCAAACTTCAAATTGTGCTGTCATCTACAAAAACTACTTTAACTTTGTACAGTGTTGTTGGAGAAAACTGTAGTTGGAATAAGACTTGCTTTTGATACATCCAAGAGTGGCTTGGATTGTGTGCAGGAACATTTTCTTAGGAAACATTTGAGTAACTTGAACAATGACTTCAAGAAAATACCATGTCTTTTAAATAATCTGGTTCCTACCACCCCTTTTAAAATGGCTGTATGTACATCAAAGCTTAATTTCAATAAATAAAATTTTGTGTTAATTTCCACTACCTCATAGTCCTGCTCCATGCTGTATCCTACAATATCTTGCCTTGTTCCATGTGGTCCCTACCCTGCAACACCACAACACCTAACATCAAAAAGCTGTTGACCTCATATACTAAATACTGCCATGTTCTTTTTTAAAGCTGCATAATGGAACAGTGGTCTTGAATTAGTATTGAGATTAGATGGATTTATGTAATTGTTGCTTATGCTCCATACTTAGACTGAAAATATTCCATTAACTGTCTTCTGCTAGATTTCCATATTATAAAAAGAAAAATAAGTTAAAGAGAAAATTAGTGTAGTGGAGTCCAGAAATTGATCATCTGTACTTGCTTCTTGTTGTATTGGTTTTACCTGGTATAAGAGGACCATATGCATCTTTATGTAAAATATTGCTGATGTATCTTCATATAAATCCTTCTGAAACTCACTTAAAAGTTCAGACCCACATGTACCCTTCAAACACTGTCCCATAGTTCCCAGGATGGAAAATGTGAAAATGAAAATGTTCTTGGAGAACAAAAATCAGACTTTCTGGCTAGTAGATGAATGTACTTCTTTTCTGTGAGTCAGGAATAGGGTTGGAAGTCTGGCACACCTGGGAAATTCACTAGATAGGCAGTAACCAAAGTAAGGTCAGCAAATAATAAACTTTTGAAACAGTCTTAAATTTGTGTCCTTTTTGGATTATAAAATACATCTTTCTGCTTTGGTAGGTTGGGATTTTTTTCCTTGTTGCTACTTTTTTTTCTCCTCTGAGTTGGTGTATAACAATACTTTGGTGGAATACATGTGTTTCTTGCCATAAACAGTTTGTTGGAATTATTACTAGAATTGCAAAAACAAATCTGGCCTGTTCTGTAGATCCTAGGCTGCCTTTAAAATGTTTTTATTTTGGAAAAATACTGTGAACCTTTTGTGAGGATACATACACATCCCAAATCAAAGCCCTTGTTCAGTTTTTTTTGACTAGAATACCAGTAAATAGCTTGAAAATGCAAACGGGGTCCTTGTGTTCTTGCTCATCTCCACAATTTGAAGAAGAACTCTTGACATTCTGGGTAGACCCCACCTACATAACATTGTGTGCCAGAGAACTTGTTTACCAAAGCATGTTTGTTCACCCCAGCCTGTATTTGCAATTCTAGTAGAACGTGCTGTAGCTGGGATTCAGGAGGCTGAAATAAGAAACATCCATACAGAATTACCACTTAGAGAGATTTTTTTCTTTTATACTTAGCTTTGGTATACCTTCCTGCACAAATTGCTCAGATCTCCTGGAAACTCAGAGACTTGACCTATTTTATAGAACTGCATTTATAAATGGAATTCCAAAGACTCTTTGTGGAGAGCAAAATGCAGGTCATCCAGTGCTGTCAGTTGGGAGAGGTTTTTGGCAATTTATACTTTATGGGCTGTATTTGATAACTTCAGTTGCACAGTGTTTACCAGTCCAGTAATTTATTACTGTGTTTTATGCATGTCTGCTGAAACTAGTCCCAGAACATGTCAGCATGTACCAATAAGATGTCTATGTGACATGTCAAACACATGTGTTGCTATATGCCTATAAAGCAGCTGGGTATCTTTGTCCTTTTGTTATCTATATATTCCCTTTCATTATCTGTGTATTTATCCTTGTAGGACTTGGTAGTAAGCCAGGTCCAATGTGTTTCTTTTTTCCTTGTATTCTTGGAACCCATGTAAATCTTTTGTGCTTCCATATGAGCAAGTGGAGGTGGCTTGAGGCAGTATCCACACTGTGGGTCTCTGAGATAACTGGTAACTAAGGTAAACTAGGCTATCAGGAGTTCAGCATTGACACTCTTCTTCTTCTGGTAGCTGAACGAGTTCGTGGAGGTTTCACTTGGGTACCTGCTCCAGACTGCACACTTGCAGTGAGTGAGGGCAGCTGCAGGGCAAAAAGAGATGTTGGCCCTGTGCCCTCTGATAGCGGTGCTTCTCCTAAGGACACAGCTATGGCCAGATGATGGCTCCTGGTGGAACCCTGCCAGCTAATGGAGAGATAAGTGAACAGGATGTAAACAGCAGGGCTTGGGTCAGACAGTTCATGCGCACTGAATACACCGTTCACTTTAAATACCTTGCAAGCTAAGTAATTTTTAGAAACTAACCTGAGAAAAAGTAATCTATATATGGTAACAGTAGTACATTTTGGTCTGTGCATGAGGGAAGTAAAGAACTTGAAGAGGATGAAGTCAGGAAAAGAGAGACACATGTAATGAAATTGCAGATATGGTATTTCACTGCCTGATACTGCTTTTTTACTTTGAAATTTCAGCATTCATTTATGGCTTGCTTGTGTACTAGTGCTCCTTTTTAGTATAAGCTTCAGTTGATTTAAACCAGTTTTCTTTGAGCTTCTGTGAAGAATTGCTTTGATGTGGTGCTGCTGTCATTTTTCTGGTTCATGTTATACACACTCTGTGACGTTCATGAAATGATGCAGTTCATTACGGTTTTTCTATAGTTTTTCATCATTTTGATTTGTGGTGTTTGCTATGCTAAGGGAGAGTCCATGTAGTGTTGTTGCAGATCATGGTTTTGATATTCATTAACCTCTGTGCTTCAGGACATTCTTCTTGTAATATGTGGATCATCATCTTTGTGTCTGGAGTGCTGGAAAACTGGCAGTTCACTATGTCACTATGAATGAAGCCTCCTTTCACTTGCCAAGTTCTTACGCTTTGTCAAAAGATAATACTAAATCTTTCAGCTGTGTTTAGGTGGCTTGTGGTAGTTTCTGGTGGGTTGGTT